ATTTAAAAGTTCCCTTCTTCTGGCTACCAGGATTATGGTCTGGTACTCTGAATTGGCTAAAACAGTGATGAAACGGCTCCTTGGTTGGCGACCTCACAATATGTGCTGATTTGAACGACTTTTTCTTCCATGAAGTATGCTACCTCATGGATACAACCCCTACTAGGTGGGACAAGAAGGTGGGATGAATCCTGTAAAGTAGGCAAGACAAATCTTCATTTTGTTAGGTCAAATGGCAGAATTTCCAGTGGGTAACAAGTCATGACTTCACTGATAACCAAGAAGCATAGGTCAGTTCACAGACTGATTAACCATGCATGCTGGGTTTTCCAGGTCACCTCCAACCTAAAACAGTTTATCTTGCTCTTCCCAACACATACATCATCATATGACTGTACCCTGGGTTGGGATTCTGAAATATGAGGTCACCCTACCTATAAACCACTGAACAAAAGGCCTGACCACCCCTTGGTATAGTCCTACTGTAAGCCGAGGACCCAGGCCTTAGCATAGTGCTTCTTCCGTTTTACTCATACCAGACAGGATGGCTCTTTCATGCGACACTACCTAGTATTGTTTTACTCAATGCGTCAGTTGCCCCAACTAGTTTATCAGCCCACGAAGGGCTGTATTTTACTTATCTTTACCTCTCCTTAGCTTCCAGCTCAGCAACTGTACAAAGCACAGTTGGTGAGAGTATAAATCCAAGCATCTTTAAGAGAACTTACCAATAACCATATGGCCCAGCAATTCCATCCTAGGAATCTGCCCAATAGATATACTCTCACAAGTAAGAAATGATATATGTATAAGATGCTCATTTCAGCAATACTTAAAAACTGAAAACTATCATTAAAGACTGGTTAAACTAATTATGATGAGTTTATACAATGGGATACTGTGCAACCACAGAAAGAACAAGGTATCTTTATGAGTACTGACATGGAAAGAGATCTAAGTGGTGTATATTCTTATGAGGTATGTGTGCTAATATAGAAGATCTCCAGAAGGGTCCACAAGAAACTTAACAGTGGCTGCCTCTGGGGAAGGGACAAATAGTCCAGAGTGGGGTGGAGGCTTATTTTTTACCATATAACCTTTTGAACTGCTTATAGATTTTTTCCTTTTTATTTATTTATTTATTTATTTATTTATTTATTTAAATTTTTTTTTTTCAATGTTTATTTATTTTTGGGACAGAGAGAGACAGAGCATGAACGGGGGAGTGGCAGAGAGAGAGGGAGACACAGAATCGGAAACAGGCTCCAGGCTCTGAGCCATCAGCCCAGAGCCCGACGCGGGGCTCGAACTCACGGACCACGAGATCGTGACCTGGCTGAAGTCGGACGCTTAACCGACTGCGCCACCCAGGCGTCCCAGATTTTTTCCTTTTTACCATTTACATATATTGATTTTCTTAAAACAAATACTAGCTATAAAAAGAGGACAAGTGAAAAAAGCAAGCTATAGAGGAGTATGCATAATATGATTCCCATTTATGTAAATGAAAGAAAAATACATATTTGCATGTTTGGATTTGGAAAATTTGTGGAAAGATATATAAGAAACTTATCAGTGATTTCTTCTCAGGAGTGAGACCAGGTAGGGGAGGATTTTTTAATTTCCATCATGTATCCTTTTTAAAGGTTAAAAAGAAAAAACCACACAACTTTTTCAAAAAATGAATTTTAAAAATTGCCATAAATAAGGGGCCTAGGAAGTATTTGGTGTTCCTAATGATGCCACGCTAATTTAAATTTTCTCTCTCAAGTGGTATACAACTGACAGTGCTAAACCACCTGAAGTTTCAGTCCTATGTTTAGGCTGCGAAAAGGGCAAGACACTGATCTTTAAGAGGAAGGGGAAAGGAAGGGAAATGACCATTAGGCAGGGCACCTCTGAACACAGTGGGCACAGAGCCTCCCTTCTCTTGGGAAGCCCAGAGCTACTACAGGGAGCAAGAGATGGGCTGTACAATTCAAACTTAAGATAAGCCTAACCTCAGGGTGCCTGGGTGGCTCAGTCAGTTAAGCGCCTGACTCTTGATTTCGGCTCAGGTCACAGTTTAGTGAGTTCACAGTTGAGTGATCTCACAGTTTAGTGAGTTTGAGCCCCACGTCGGGCTCCACACTGACAGTGCAGAGCCTGCTTGAGATTCTCCCTCACTCTCTCCCTGCCCCATCCCGCTCCATTCTGTCTCGCTCAAAGTAAATAAATAAGCTTAAAAATTGCCTTAAAAAAAAAAAAAAAGATAAGCCTAACCTCTCTTCACTGGAAGAAGGTCCAACTGACAAATTTAGGAGAATATCTGAAACATGAAATCCTAAATGAATTATGGCTTAGACATATTATTTTCAAAAAGAACTATTGAATGCATATAGTATCCTTGTTTTATAAAGACAAAACAAAAAGTTAAAAGCCTATATATGCATGTGTATATGTATATATATGTTCTGAAAAAGGTCTATAAGGATATATCCCAAATTATTGAGTAATTACCCCTGAGGAATAGAAAGGGAGGGTGGAAAACTTTAATTTTTTCTTTTATAATTGCTATTATTTGACTTAAAAAAAAACTTTAACATTTATTTATTTTTGAAAGAAAGAGAGTGTGAATGGGAGAGGGGCAGAGAGAGAGGGAGACACAGAATCCAAAGCAGGCTCCAGGCTCTAAGCTGTCAGCACATTTTAAACATTTAAACATTTTAAATTTTTTTTTTTTTCAACGTTTATTTATTTTTGGGACAGAGAGAGACAGAGCATGAACGGGGGAGGGGCAGAGAGAGAGGGAGACACAGAATCGGAAACAGGCTCCAGGCTCCGAGCCATCAGCCCAGAGCCCGACGCGGGGCTCGAACTCACGGACCGCGAGATCGTGACCTGGCTGAAGTCGGACGCTTAACCGACTGCGCCACCCAGGCGCCCCAACATTTAAACATTTTAAACACTACTTCTGTCATTAAAAACAAAATGTAAAAAAAAAGTGTAATTTTTAAACTTTTTATGATCATACCAAAACATCTTCAAATATTCTTCTATAATGAGGTCTTAATTTTAACATGAAAATGTTTCATTTTTTTTTTTTTTTAGTAATCTCTACACTTAGGATGGGGCTTGAACTCAATGACCTGGAGATCAAGAGTCATATGCTCTATGGACCGAGCCAGCAAGGTGCTCCTCAACTTCAAGGTGGTTTTGACAAACATGCAGCCACCCATCTTAGAAGGTTGGTTTGCCTGGATACAGGGATAGACCACATGACCCTTCAAGATCACTTCAATCTCTGGACTTTCTATAAAGTATAGGGAAGCAATTAATCAGAAAAGCAAGGCTTTTCCTGGATACCCAGCAGGTTGATGGTGTTGGACAAATTCCCCAAAATGAGGGGATCAGCCCTTTAAAATGGCTTCCTAGTATTCCTGGACTACTGTTTTCTTTACTGAAAGACTCTCTCTCTCTCTCTCTCTCTCTCTCTCTCTCTCTCTCTCTCTCTCTCCCTCTTTCAATCTGTTCAACCAACCTGAACCCTGGCAGCTCAGCTTCAGCCAAAGAGCCAAGGGAAGCCCTGAGGCAGCTAAGTTCTGCACCACTGCCACTTACAGTCTGGGCTTCAGACTCGGGAGAACAAATGCTGGAGAAAGAAAAAGCTCTGCTGTTGCTAAATCATAGATGCTGGGGGTGGGGGCTGGGTGAGGGGTCTGGCCCCACTGCCACCTGCTACATGCAGGAGCTCAATTATACCGTTACACTCACTACTCCTGTCAAGGGACAGGCAGTGGAGGAGAGGGGTTGCTTGGGAGAGCTGCTGGCAGCTGTGGTTTTTCTCAACCGGCAAGCTTCCTTTGGAAAGTCACCGTTCCCTACACTAGGAATCTTTCCCCACAAGGAACAGCTGCATTTGCTCATGCTGGCTTCCGCATTTTCCTCTGGTTCCGAAGCTAAGCAGTGGACAAATGACTTAGGTCTCTGACATCCTCATTTAAGCCCCGAACAAGCTGTCCGGGTGACTTCTACCCCATGAAGCCCAAAGGAAACCAGAGAATGAAATGAAGTCATTTGCTGCTGTGAAACAAATGTGGGAACATTATGCAGTTGTTTTTATTTTTCCAACTATAAAGACTGGCAACTTGTTGATGGGTAACACCTTAGATTAACACTAATTATATTGCTATAAATTTGGTTGAGGATAAGAATAGGATTCAGGAACAAGGGAGAATAACAACAAAAATCTTCAAGCATTCTTGAAACAAAGAAACACTTTTTTTTCCTTTAATTAAATGCTTCTTTCCCACAGACTTCCCTAGACTGGTTTGCAGTCTAAGGCCATAGGAAACGAGGCTTTGGGCATTCTGAAGAGACTGCAGATTAAGCTATGGCGCCAAGCAGGAGACTAAAACCCTGACCTGACTGTGTCAATCTTAGGCATGTTCTGGGAACAGAGGCAGATTCTCAAATGTTTCCCAGCGTTCCTTCCTTTTTACCAATTAAATTTCCGCTTCTCTGGCTAATTCAGTGTAGTACACAATCCCCTCTCTGCCTTTCCTGGTTATACTGTTGTGTAGAGGGAACCTGCCAGGAACATATCGCTTCTGCTTAGGCTGCAAAGGCAACTGGACTAGTTCTGATCCATCTCCTCCTGAGAGCCTCAACAGTAGGGAGTTGCTGAGGAAGGCCTCTTCGGGGAACTGAAAGGTCGGGTGCACTGGGAAGAACATCGCTTACCCTTGGGAAACCTGGCATCGGTTGCCTGTGATTCCTGGTGGAAGTGACCAATCAGACTCAATCCGTACCATTGGGAAAGGTCAAGGGAAAAAACAGCTTCCCCTCCAAAAATGGTAAAGAGGAAATGAGGAGAGAAGAATCCCAAAATATTCAGAATGGCATAAAAAGTGGTATGTGTAAACTTCTTTTTGTTATTACATCTAACTATAAGTTTCCTAAAGTCCAGTTACCAAGTTGAATTGTGTGGGATAGAGGAGAGAGGCCAGTTGGAGCTGCCTTCAAGAGTTCACAGCTTCAAGCTGAGAGGTCCTAGGTTTGCGCTGGGGGAGCCCCTTTTTGAATGAGGGCTTGGGGGGGATGGGCTCCATGCTGGCTCCAGTTCCATTGGTCCCTGCAGAGTGGGCCTGGCCCCGTTCACTAATGTTTCCTGATGCCTGGGATGGAGCATTCTGATACCTGGAACTAGATGAATACCATGAGCTATTTCTGTAACGACCCACACTGTCATGTCGCCCTTGGTTCATGGGGTCATTTGACTTTTGGCCTTGTGGCCTGTAGCTCTGTCCTCCTCGTCTGTTCCCCGGCAATACCTGAGGATAAAAGAATACAATGTTCAAAGAACTCTGGCATTATGGCACTCTGTCTGTTCCAGTTCAGCTTACAGGAGTATTCTTAAAGCCTAAATTGTGGTATCCCATAGTTGGGACTCAGCTCTCTCTTGAGACTCCCAGAATTCTGTCAGCCAATCTAACTTAGCCAGTACACCAGAATTAATGTATCTTCCACTATTTTACCCCAGCTTCATCCCTAGGCTCTCCACTGAAGAGGACTTCACTTTTCTTTACCTGGACACAAAAAGAAAGCTAAGGAGGAAGAAAGAACACTCTTGGGCTGTTACAAGCCCTTGACTGGGCAAGTATCTTATCACATGCCTGAACTCTGAGGACTGTAAGCCATTTGTAAAGATAATGAACACCTGGAATAATAAAATAAACGTCTTTATAATCTGCTTGGCTATACATTATGAAGCATAGATTAAATCATGCTGCTGTGACATTTAGGACATCTCTCACATTACAACCCAGAAAGCTTATGGCATGTGGTTTTATTTTTGTCCTCCACTTCCAATGTAATACCAGTTCTGCAGGATTGCTAACAGCGCTGCCTTGGATTGCTCTTGTGCATCTTCTTCAAACCAAGAAAAGAACCTCTGGATTATGCTTCAACTCTCTGGTGTTTGCCCTCCACCCCACCAGGTTCACTTTCTCTCCCGGATATATTCGACGCAGTGCTCCTAGGGAGCTGCTGCTTCAGATGCACTCTGGTGAACCTGCCACTGTGTACTCATCTACCTCGAGATGGGTGCATGACTCCCACAGTGACTAATTACCAGGCGATACTACCTACAATAGCTAGGACTCCCGCCAACATCAGAAAGTCAGCAGTCCTGGCAACAGGAAGTCTAAGCTAGCTGGTGGTTTGGAACAGAAGTACCAAATGCTTTCTCTGGAACTAACTGGGGCTGGAGGGATTCAAAATAGGTGTGGAATGGCCATAAAGAGAGGAAGGTAATGTACTGAGCTGTCAGCAATTAAACTGTGACAGTCTGGTAACTTTTCTCTATAAGTGGCTTGGTGTGGAAGCTAGGTTACCTCTCGATGAGGCTGGTAGGGCCGGCCACTGGAGTTTGCTATGGGTGCAGGAGTCTCTCCTGGTGCCGAGTTTTTCTTGTTAGCACTTGTAAGGCTGGGAGCAGAGGCACAGGTGGAAGAGGAAGCGGCAGAGGCATCACACGGACCACTCAAGGACATAGACGGAACTGTGCTGCATCGGGATCTGGTTGAGTAGCTGTTCTTTGGATGGGACACTGGACGGAAATAGGAGAAATAGGTTGTCATAGGACAGAAGAGCACGATGGTAAGGTTTTCCCTATTTCTCCACTTCACGATAAGCAATTTGGGACAAAGAACTGTCTACTGGAGTAGTTGTAAAGATAAGCTTATAAAAAAGCAACAGGAAGCAAAATCTCCCTTTTGCCCTCTTCCTCCACTCCTTCCAAATCCCTATTGCTTTTTTCTTTTTTTCCTTTCAAGTTTGTATTTAAATTCCAGTTAGTGAATCCCCCACTGCTTTGTAAAGGAACTCTTAGAGACAGGAGAACAGTGTAAGATCGGAGTAGTCATTCCCCCACCAACTCATGACTTCTCGGCATTTCCTACTAAACTCCTGGCTGCGGCTCCAGCAGCTGACTAAGCCTAGGAACAATAGTATGGGCCATATGTTCAGTTTCCTATGAAGGAACATTCTGAAGTACAGACTTCACAAAGAAAGAAAAAGGTAAATAGAAAGCTAAATCCCTTTTTAAAAATTTGAATGATGCAAGGTATAAATAATCAGGATTAAATATGAACAGAACTAGTCTTTATAATAAACATGTATCTTCCCAAGGTTCTTTCTGCAAAAATAATCCTCAACTCAAAATATCTGAAAAATAGTAATATATTCACTTCAAATTTTGTCAGAATTCAATGGCTTAAAACTACCCCTTACTTTTTTTTTTTTTTTTGGTTTTAAGTCTGGTCTAATGTTGAGTTCACAATCACAGCTCTAGGTCCGACCTTTCACTTTTATACTGACAGAGAAAGGACAAAGGAGCTGAGCTCAGGGTCTGACTGGTGTGCCCCTATAAGCTCTCACCTTAAGGAAACCCCCCCCCGGCCTTAAAGCTATTATTTAAGCACCTATTATGCGCCAGGAAAGGTAGGTGTTATTATCTCCATTTGGGAGAGGAATAAAATAAAGTTCTGAGAGGTTAATGTAAAGGCAAGGATTCCAGCTCAGTCTGACTCAGAGCTCCCGCTCTTTACACTATGTATCACACACAACTCAACCCAGCAGAAAAGGATGAAAAAATAACATTGCAAATTTAGGGAGCCAGAAAATGCCCATCTTCTAAGCTCAAAGAATCTGCATCCTGTGACTTCTTAAGTATCTCAGAACTGCTTTTCACAAAAGCAAACAAAAACACAAGAGGCATTAAAGCAGAATCAGTGGAGAAGCCAAGCCAAAACTTTAGTCTCAGATCAGGAGACGGAGTCCCCTCCTCACCATCTCCAGCGCCCAGAATCTCTCGCCATCCTACCTTGTCCAAATGACTCAATGTCCTTCTTCAGCGTCTCTACATCACAGGTGAACCGAGCTACTCGTCCCAGGTCCTCATCGTATTTACGCTCACTAACAAAGTGCTGGAGAAAGGACAAAGAAAAGCCTCCAGGTGAGACAGGTGGTATACATGGAATCCATGGCTTCTTATAAACAGATGAAAAAAACTATTTTCCATTGTCTTTTTGTTGCTTCAAATTTTACTAAATGGCCATCATATTGCCTATGCCAGGTGACTGATGGAATTCAGCCATTTTCCTAAGGTTCAAAGGTAAGTCTGTTGGGGAGCTTTATGAAATGCTACCTGATGGCCAAAGCCCATCAGAGATGATGAAGAGAAATTGTAAAGAAAGAAGAAAAAGTTTCCAGTAGAGGGCCATCTTTCCACTGTTGGCTACTCTCCACATTGTTCCATTTTATACAGAAGCAGAGGCAGCAAAAATGCTCCTACGTTACAACAATGATTCCATGTAAATAGAGGGCTTGGTGTTCTTTAATAGGAACCTCCTTAGGCAACCCACTTCATCCCTTTATAAAGTAGGATTTGTTAGTCCTTGAAGTGGGGACAACTTCTTGAGATGGAAAATCATTCATGTGAAAATCCAACCTTGCAAATGAGAAGGGTTTATGCTGCAAGTAATTTAATCCTTTTAAGCAGACTGAGCTGAGACATAACCAACCCCTTGGGTCAAAAATAACTATCATGTCAGGAATAAAGTGCTTCTGGGGGTGTCTTTCAATAAACAATTTCCAAAGTAGCCTGGAATCTTTTTTTTTTTTTTTTCACCCCCAGATGAAAAGGAGGCAAAAAGGAAAAGTTAAAGGCCTACATATCATTTACAAGAATCAAACTCCTCAGAACAGTCTTCTAGCAGGTGGTCTAATTCCACTTTGGATTTTCAAGGGGTATAATCAAAAACATCAGAATCCTTGGGATGGATCTAGAAGCAGTAGATGGTAAAGTAGAAATCAAAATTCCCTGTGAACCCTGAAGTCCTGAGAGTACACTGTGGCTCAGGAAAGCACATGAACCTCTGTAACATAGAGGCTTCAGACATGTAATATCAGTCTGAGAGTAATTCTGAAACAAATTCTAGGGTTTGTTGAGCCAGAGACATAACAAGAATGACGGAAATAACATGATCTGGAAATAAGACATTTAAATTGCACAGCACCCACTTCAGTACACTGAATATGTGGAGAGAAACAGATCCTTAGTCAGCCTGCAGAAATATTTCTAGCAGCTTTTCAACCACGTGGGAAGGAGAACAGATGAAGCCTGTGAGAGCCAGGATTCTCATCTAATTCCAAAGGGGTTTCCGGCTTCTCCCAGATAGTTGAACAAGACTGACTGGCATCTTCATGTCAGTGAAGAAGACTTTCTATAATTTTTAGTATTATAGTTCTAGTTAATCAGAAATGGTAATTTCATACTGGCATCGTTTTGCTATTTCACCCCAATAGCGTCTAAGGGGAGAAGTGAAAGGCTGAGTGTGAAAGACTGGGTCAGGATGATAAGGATACCTGGAAGGTCTTAGATGATTTCCCATCTAGGTTTTTATTTTACAAAGGCTGTTATATAGCCTGTGCAGCAAGTGTTCCTGTTAAGTATGGCAAGAAGTCTCATGTGTTCAGAAAGAGCAGAGGTTAGGGCTCAGGAGTAGGAACAGCCAACTCTTCTTCACACAGCTAACGGTTTATAAACAATTATTTAGAATTCCAGTGTCCACAACTACCCACAAATATCCCAACGTCTCTCAGGTCTCCATGCTTAGTCTCAGAAACATTGTTCTTTATACAAGAATTTTAAATGTATGAGGGGTGCCTAGGTGGCTCAGTTGGTTAAGCGTCTGACTTTGGCTCAGATCATGATCTCACGGTACGATTTGAGAGTTTGAGCTCTGCTGTTGGGCTCTGTGCTGACAGCTCGGAGCCTGGAGACTGCTTCAGATTCTGTGTCTCCCTCTCTCTCTCTGCTCTTGTGCTCTGTCTGTCTCTCTCTCTCTCCCCCCCCCCACTCAAAAAAGAAATAAACATTAAAAAAAAATTTTTTTTTAACAATTTAAAATACATGAATGTCGAACCTAAGTAATCTTCACAAACAGATACAATACAATCAGTATCTCAAGTTGCTAATTTTTCTCTTCTAAAATCAGAATCAACCAACCAACCATTTCAATATTTACTGAATCCCTACTACATGCCAAGGCACTATGCTAGACACTGGAGGCACACTGGTTCCTGCCACTGTAAAGTTCACAATCTAGTTGGGAAGACAGATCAGTCAAATGCATATAAAATGATAACTATGCTATGAACATACAAGATAGGGGGCATGACATGAAAGTTAAAAGGACGAGCAGGTCAGTTATCTGTGTGCTGGGACTGGTTGGGTGGGGCGTTTTGTACAGATCGAAAAGCATACATACAGCCCTCCAGCAGGAGGGAAGAGACTATGTTTGTGGGAAGGAGAAGCAAAGATGGCCAGAGAACAAGGGGAGTATGGTGTGAAATAAGATGGTGGCAGAGCCGGACCCTGCAGAGCCCTTAGAGGCCGTGTTAAGGATTACAGTCTTTATCCTAGAAGCAGTGGGAGGTTTGAAGCAGTTTAATGTGGTGTGAGAACAGATATGGAGAGCTCGGAGGGCAGGGCAGTGGCAGAATAGACGGGTGGAATCAGTTAAGAGGCCATTACAGAAGCAAGTAAGAGACAACAGTAGCTGGATCACGATGGTGGTGGTGAAGATTGAAGAGAAAAGGTCAGATCTGAGATTTGGGAGGAGGTCAAACAGACAGGGTCTGCTGACAGATTTAATATGGGAAAGGAGAAATTCCTAAGGCTTCCAGGTTGGACACCTGGATAGATGACAGTACCATTTACAGAGAAAGGGAACATGGAAGACGGTTAGCTTTGAGAAGGGAAGATCATGAGTTCAATATATTAGATATGGCGATGAATTATGGAGATTTGCTGCTTCAGTCCCTGAGGGTAAGAAGAAAGGCAGAAAGGAGAAAGAAGTTTTACCTTGATATCAGCTCTGAGCTCAACCAATTGCTCCTCTGACATTCGAACAGCCACATCAGTCATCTTCTTTAGAAGTTCGGCTTTCTTTTGTCGGCTGAGCAAAATTTCCACTGTGGAGGAAAAGAGAGTAGGACTCTTATCTTCTGCTAAATAGGATAAAGGAGAATTGGAAATATGGGCCTTGCAGTACATATTTGAACAGCCAAAGGCTTAGCTGCCCACCCATCCAGAAAATGAAAATACCAAAGGTCCAGTTTCCAGCTTCTTGAGGGATTCTGAAGGCAGTTAAATGGTAAACACTTTTTATGAATCATAAAGACTCATAAATCATTTGTCATTTCTCTTTCTTCTCTTTCCAGTCAAAAAAAATTTTTTTTAATCAAGAAATATATAAATTAAAACAGAAATAGGTACCCAGGGTAAAAAAAAATTCACCTAGAATAAATGGGTATAAAATGAAAAGTAAAAGCATTCCCCTACTTCTGACAGCAAATATCTCTCTCCCTTCTTTCCCCTCCTTACAGATAGGAGTATGTCATATACGTGGTCCTTTCCTTTACCTAAGCTATTTTTACTTGACATACTTGAAGTTCATTGCCTATTAATACGCTGGCTCTCCTTCACTGTTTAACAGCCACATGGTTTTCTACTACTTAGGTATACTACAATTATTTACTAAGTCCCCTAACGGTGGATAGTTAGGCTGTTGACAGCCTTTTAAGAAGTATAATCTTTGGCATGCTCCCAGATGTATAACTCAGATATGGCCACAGAGGATAACAGACAATATGAAAAAAAAAAAAAAATCTCTCAGAGCAGAGAACCAGGGGTTACAGAGGATGTGAGCCAAAGAAATCCTCCAAGGAAGCAGAACTAGGTGCTGCCATATGAACGAAGGAGTTTTCTCTGCCACAAGGCCAGGGATTCTGCTACTCCTGCCCAGTACAATTTGATCATTGCTTTTCCAGGTGGGAATTTTTTACTCTAATTATACTCTTCTTTATATAATATTGGAGGAAGGGGCATTTAACTTTTCCTTTAGTTCATGGGACCCCAGACCACAACATGCCATATCCAGATCTATTGAAAGATCTGAAATGACCCCGAAGCCCTGGACTTTCAGCTAAATATACTAATTAGATGAGACTTTGGAGGTGTTGTCATTGAGGAGGAGGGGAGTGTGTTCTCATTTTTTAAAAAAGAGGATATCGGGTAGCTGAGGGGTGGACAGTAGCAAAAAGACTGTTAGCAACTGCATATCCATTCTCCTCTTTTTCCTATCGGAAGTCCAGTGTTTTGGGTACCAATGTGCTTAGGTAAAAATCTACATTTCCTGGCTTTGCTAGATAAGACAGTCATGTGATATGGTTTAGTCACTGAGATCTAAGCAGAACTCACAGGGCGAGGTTTACAGGAGTCCTAGCCAGCATGTAACATATTGCCTCTCCTCAACTGGAGCCTTAGCAGGGATCTTTTGACCATAGGTACACTCTAAGGATGGCTGAGTACAAAGACAGAGAAGCCCGGGTCCCTCATGTCATTTTGGAGATGCCCTGCCAGCCCTGATCACTTACCTCTGGATTTTTCATTTCATGAGAGAAAGAAAGAAACTCACGTTTATTTAGGCCACTCTGTTGCATGCAGTCAAACTCAATTCCTAACTGTTATACATAGAATCCTGTAACCCACTTAGAAATCAGCCAAATTTATGTTAGAAAATAACTAGAATTTTCCGAGAGCTACATCAGGTATTCCAGAGAGTTGAATGCCTTTAGCAAGTTTACTTATTAGCCTGATTGTCACGGATATGCCACCCATGGGCTGCCCTCCCCACATGAGCTTAATAAGAACACACTTTCCCAGTAAGTGAGGGATATGCCTACAAAAGTTTCTTGACACTAAGGCCCAATAGTTACAAATGATCTACTGGTCTGGCTCCCAAGATAAAACCTGTCTGCCATTTTGTGTCAAATCCATTTGCTCTCAGGAATCTGCATTCTAGGATTCTAAGACAAAACTACAGATCCCATCATGGAGGAAATGTGTCACGTCAAGACCTCCACACAAATCAGTGGACCCAATTACATAACTTTGGACAAGCCACATTTTCTCCAAAGGACTCATTTCTTCATTTATTAAAAAAAAAAAAGGAAAACCTAATTACCTCATAAGGGTAATATGAAGATCATAGAGAAATGAATGAAAAAACTCTGAACTGTGAAGTACTATGAACATATAAATTAATAAAACTATTAAACGTGTAAGAAAAAAAAGAAGCACCTTCTTGATAGTATTGGTAAATGAATAATTACATTTACTAACACTGAGATCCAGAATTTTAGCATGAGAGAAAGGAGATACAGATATACAACTGACAAAATTAAGTAAAACTGTAGCTCTTAATTTGATAAAATAAGATTTGCCATGAATTGATAATTGGTTGAAGCTGGACGGTAGCAGTTAATTATATCAGCCATTTTGAAATGTTTGGCATTTTCTATAAAAGATATATTTTTAAAAAGCACCTTCTTCTCAAAAGTAAGGACTATGTCTTCTTACTAGCTTTATTTGAAACTTTATGCTCAAAATAGAACACACAGTACACGAATGGACCGAAATGGTCATATTTAGAAATTTCAGGATATACCACTCAATTTAAATGAATCTCACCTCTGAAAAACAGTGGACAGCACCTGTTCAACATTTCAGGTCAAAATAGATCAAAAGAGAACTCAGCTCAGTGCCTCCTCTGGCCCATGAGCATAAACACAAATGGTTTAATTGTGAGTCATCACCTCGACCTATTGCCATTCGTACCAGTCTGAGAGCAGGTTAAAAGAAACAACCCTCCAAATTACAAATCTAGCATTCAAAGCATGAAGGTCAAACCTGCTGCTGAAAAGCCCATATCAATGCCATTGTAGAAGCTGTAACAGATACTCCCTTCTTTCCATACAGCTGTGTATCTTGTACCTAACCCTCAACAGGAATGACAAAAAACAGGTATCTTGTTCTTTGGTTACAAAACCTCACAAATTACCCAAGTTAGACTCTATTCCTCCAGAATCTATTTTAGTAAGCTTTCAAGGAATCCTGGTCATGGTATCCTAAACCCTCATTTCATTGACTTCTTCTATCTAAGACACTGAGTGAAGACTGTTCTACAAATTGAGAAAACCAAGAAAGTTCTCAGACAGGTAATGACAGTGATGCATACACTAAATTGTGGGCAAGCTGGTGAAGTTAACTCTGATTATGCCAAACATTTTTTTTTTCCAAGTAGAATAAAAAAAACCCAATGGAATTATTCAATCACTGGAAGTAAAACCCAAAATAAGACAAAACCCAGGCACCTGGCAAGGATACTTTATTTTCCTAAGATGATGTTGTGGTGGCAAATACCATGATGCAGTCCCTCAGACATTGAACATTCAAAATATTAACATTCAAAAATATGAAAAACCAGATTCTTGTAAAGTTGTTTCACCTGACAGGATTCATATGCCAGGGCAGTACAGCTTCTCAAGATTCTTCAAATGAATATATAAACTCCTACAGTGACATTTATATTGAGCTTTTGTTATGAGGGTCGAAAGGCAGATACCTACTAATTGGTAATAGCTTTAACTACAGATCAGTCTTACTTGCTTCAGCTTTCACTTTGTCCATTTCAGCAAGCAATGCCACTTCTCGATCCATTAAACTAGGAAAAGATGACAAAGGGAAAAAAGGTTTGATCAGAAACTCAAACAGAAATAGCACATTGTTAACAGAGGAGACAGACTTATGAGTTGGTTCACTGAAAGTATACTACAAAGTAAACCCTGTGTGGACCACATAAAAATTGTCTTACCCTCAGCAAAGGATATTTTAATGATTCCAATAAATAGACCTGATTCCCTTTTATTTCTTTTTTTTCTTTAATTCCCTTTTATTTCTGTGTATTACAGTAAACCAGTAGCTAGAAGTCCAAGAATGGAGAACCAGTAGGTGGCAGTAGCGAGCTACAGAACACTTCTAGCTAAATTGTGCTAAAGCAAAAGTTCTGGAAGTTGTGTACTTCCACATACAAAGTCACATATTTTTTATTTTATAATTTGGTCTATAAAATCAGACAGCTTTGCTTCTAATACATTTTACCAGGCAATATCCGTACTAGGGCATGGTAAATTTATCCACCATTAGGATTTTGTATATTCTCAACACTTTACCACAGTTGCACCAAGTCCACTGGCACTTTAGTCTATTTTGTCAAAGTTTTTATTTAAACTCCAGTTAGTTAACATACGGCGTAACAGTAGTTTTGGGAGTACAATACAGTGATTCAACAATTCTTTTTTTTTTCTTTTTTGATTCAACAATTCTTATTTTTTTAATGTTTATTTATTATTTGTTTATTTATTTATTTTTATTTTTCCGAGACAGCACAAGCAGGGGAGGGGCAGAGAGAGAGAGGGAGACACAGACTGCAAAGCAGGCTCCAGGCTCTGAGCTGTCAGCACAGAGCCCAACACAGGGCTCGAAGTACCCAACCTGGAGATCATCACCTGAGCCAAAGTTGGACACTTAACTGACTGAGCCACCCAGGCGCCCCTTGATTCAACAATTCTGTACATCACCCAGTGCTCATCACAAGAGGTGTCCCCCTTAATCCCCATCACCTGGTCAGCCCATCCCTCCCCTCTGGTAACCATCAGTTTGTTCTCTGTAGTTGAGTCCGTTTCTTGGTTTGTCACTCTCTCTCTCTCTTTTTTCCCTTTGCTCATTTGTTTTTGTTTGTGGCACTTTAGTCTTAAGGAGGCAGAGTAGTTAAAAGACATATATACATTGTGCTGGTTTCAGGTAAACATTTAATAATCCAGAAAAAATGAAATCAAAGGTTTCTGATAGGCTTTCTACAGAAAATGAACATCAAATGGGTACTGAGAATTTTCTCCACTGCAAATGTAAATGGCACGTAAAGCTTTCTATGTTCTTGTAAAAGAGCCCACTACCTTCAACATATAGCAAGACAGTAGTTTGCCCTAGTCTGCAACCTCTGGATACAAGTAATTTTCCTTACCGTATCAGTTTTACTCAGTGGTGAAATAAAAATCTAAAATTTTGATACTTGCCCAGACATGAAATGTTCCAACTCTCTTTGAATTTTCTATTCATTCTGATTTCCCCTTTTGCAAAGGAATAGATCTACAAGGTTAATAAAAGTTCTACTCTTGTTTCTGATTGTAAAACTAATCATATATACACACACACATAAACATATACGTATACATATATATGAATGCTGATTCAATTTAGCTCAATATTTAGTGATGTTAGCAGAAAGTAGTTAATACAGGGACTATAGTGTGAGGTATACAAAAAAAGATAAGGCAGGGTCATTTTCTCAAGGAGCAAATTCCTTTATATGAAGTGCCAGAGAACACAGGTTTGATAAGAATTATGTATGATGTGGGGCACCTGGGTGGCTCAGTTGGTTAAGTATCTGACTCTTGGTTTCAGTTCAGGTCATGATTTCACAGTTCACTGAGTTTGAGCCCCACCCTGGGCTCCATACTAACAGAGCAGAACCCGCTTGGTGTTCGTTCTCTCTCTCTCTCTCTCTCTCTCTCTCTCTCTCTCTCCCTCCCTCCCTCTCTCTCTGCCCCTCCCCTGCGTGCACGTGCACACTCATGCTCTCTAAAAAAAAAAAAAACAACAAAAAAAATCATTATGCATGATGTTAATAAACAGACTTGTAATGAAACAAATTTGGATGGCATATTAATCCAGAAGCACCAGACAAGAGAGAAGGTCCAACTATTGTAGGGTAGCAATACTCTGCTAAGAAAGCATTCTCCAAACCTTGGCAATACTTTGCTCCGAGTACTCTAGCAGCATTTGGAATACCTAAAAGCAAAACAAAAGCACAACTGAGACAGGAGCTGCCAGGCCTCAATTTTAACCCTACCTCCTTTCTGTTGCTGAATCACCTTAAGATGCAGACGCTGTGTCCACCAGATGACAAATTTGTCTCTGGCAAAGCTTGTAAAATATTTATTAAGACTTCCGCAAACAAGTAAGCTTTTTGCAGCTTACAATCTTTATTATGAAAAAGTAGAATGTCACATGACACGGTTAGCAAGAAAAAAAATTCTGCATCATCACAATCAGACTTTTCTGTGGCAGTAGGAGCTACGAAGTACACTGTGTTGGATTTTTTCCCCCTGTAGGGATGACTGGAATCTATTTTTATTTATTTATTTATTTATTTAACGTTTATTTATTTTTTGAGACAGAGAGAGACAGAGCATGAACGGGGGAGGGTCAGAGAGAGAGGGAGACACAGAATCTGAAGCAGGCTCCAGGCTCTGAGCTGTCAGCACAGAGCCCAATGCGGGGCTCGAACTCACGGACCGTGAGATCATGACCTGAACCGAAGCCGGCCGCTCAACCGACTGAGTCACCCAGGCGCCCCGACTGGAATCTATTTAAATAAAGTCTGTTTTTTGATTGACTCACTGGTGATCGTAAGAAATTCAGAGGCAGTGTATGGACAACCATCTGCCCATGCCATTAAAAAAAGTGCATATTTTCGTGCCCAAAAACCCCACTATAAAAAGCAGTAAGTGCTTCTATTTCTTGTTTGTTGTCTTGCCATCTATTGATAATACCTACAAAAGGTCTTATGTCGTCGGCCAAGTACTAAATAGAGCAATCTACTGGTTAACCGAGGCTGTTGGGATATTTTCTCAGAGAAAAGCCCGATGAACATTTGCAATTTTCCTGAAGATTTTCACAAGTCTTTAAAACACAAAAATGAATATGGGGCGCCTGGGTGGTTCAGTCGGTTAAGCGTCCGACTTCAGCTCTGGTCTTGATCTCACAGCTAGTGAGTTCGAGCCCGCGTCAGGCTCTGTGCTGACAGCTCAGAGCCTGGAGCCTGCTTCCAGTTCTGGGTCTTCCTGTCTCTCTGCACCTCTCTTTCAAAAATGAATAAATGTTAAAAAAGAAAAAAGTAAAAAGTTTAAAGAAAAGCACAAAAACGAATAAATGCTAAAATATAAATGCCTGATAGTTAGCTTTTGTCATTGTAATGTTAAGTGCCTGACACTAAGCTTTGATTGTCCAGACCTCCATTTCAAAGACATCTCAGATAAACAGACTGCCAGCTGCACAATAAAAAGTCAGGCTACCCCACACAGGAAGTTCCTCTTTTAGAAAGCCCTGAGTGACCCATATAACTTGACTGACCCTACTTTCCCTTCCCACGCTTTAATTCCTGCTCTTATGTTTTAAATTCACCAATAAAGAATGAACCCACAAAACCTTAGGTAACCCACCATCACCTGCAATAAAGGCATAACCCCAGTCTGGGCTCTATTTAAGCACCCTGTGCTGTATGGCACTGGACGTGCCATGTCCCCTCTAGGACATGTAAGTAATAAAAGCTTGTTTTTTTTCCAAGATCCCTGATGGCAATTGTTGAGGTGTCTTACAATCCTAAGAACCACCAGGGCTGATCCAGCCACAACGCTAGCTCAAATATGGCCTCATTACAAGTAATATGCAGCCCAGGTGAATGCCCCCCAGGCGTTTGTAGCTGAGAGCATCGCCATAGATAGGCCGAGACTGACCAAAGCAATATAATAATAACTTGCCTCCTAAAAGTACATCACATAATGTACTGCAACTATGTAGAATGACCATATCTTTAGGTCATCAATGCTAAAGCATTTTAGAGGTGGCATGTCATAATGCCTGCAGCTTTCAAATGGTTCCACCAAAACACATCACACACACACACTCTGTACCATCCTTCCGTGTCTTTTGTCTCTTTGAAAGTTTTCACAATAAAAAGTTGAAATAAGTGCATCACAAATAGAAAAGGTGGGAAGAGTTCAAAAGTGGACAGTAGGGTAAGCATAAAGATAAATAGCAGAGGCTTTTTCTTTTTACGATTAAAAACAAGAGTTTATCGTAATATTGCTTTCTAACAATGCGGAAACTTAAGCTCAAGTTTTTCATCTGCTCCTCAGCTAAACGATGGTCTTCATATAGATCTGTGGCCAAGAGATTCAAAAGTACCTGTGGTTTGAGGTAACAGTTTTTAGAGGCCATAACTGCAAGCAATGAGTCCTCTCAGAGAGTGATGAAAAGCTCATTCAGACAGTTAGACTTTCTGTTACCTTGCTCGTGCCAATACACAAGGACACTGAGCTTGCAGTTGTTGTCTCAAGGTTTTCCTGAATGGAAATACACCATAATCAGCATCTGATACACTGGATTCTGAAACTGCTAATGAAATTCAGCTAAATATTGCGGGGACTTAGATACTAGGTCTTATTAAGCCTGTGCCTTATAACAGTGTAGAGAATTTCCACATCATTTCTTCAGTCATGAAAGATGGTTTTATTTATTTATTTATTTTTTTTTTTTAACGTTTTTTATTTTTTTATTTTTGGGACAGAGCGAGACAGAGCATGAACGGGGGAGGGGCAGAGAGAGAGGGAGACACAGAACCGGAAGCAGGCTCCAGGCTCTGAGCCATCAGCCCAGAGCCCGACGCGGGGCTCGAACTCACGGACCGCGAGATCGTGACCTGGCTGAAGTCAGACGCTCAACCGACTGCGCCACCCAGGCGCCCCTGAAAGATGGTTTTAGATGACTTGTCACTGCCACTAAGGGAAAAGACTGGTAAATGTCTGAACGTTCTGTATTGCC